TATATATATATATATAGTGGGGTCAAGAGACAAAATTTGTCTTCTGCAAGAAATGGGCTTGTGGTACCACATGAGACTCATGGAGGAGTTCGAAATCGTTGAGATCACAGCATATGTTCCACATAGTCTGATAGCCCTCATGGCGTTTTGCAATTGACAATAACTTTGAAGAAAATGTCATCAGAGTATCCTTATTCAATTCCTCATTTTCCTCAGGTGAATCCTGGCACGGCAAAACAGGTAACGATTATAGATGCATCCAAATAAATCAACAAATGAATAGCAAATAAAAGCAAAATATATGAGCTGGGATGCTACATAACTCCAGTGAAAATGTTTACTATTAGAGAAGGTGTAGGAGGATAAATTAAATTGAAGGGATAAAATTATATTGCGAAATATGTATTCGACCATTTTGTCAGTTCTGAAACCTCATATGACGCCACAAGCAAAAATTAATTCAAAGTAGTTACCTGTAACTTCGCATGTATGAAATCTTTCACTTGCTTATAAAGGGAGTCGAGAAGGGTATCTCTACATTTTGAGTACTCCTCTAACAGACTTCGATGATCTTCTTTCCGATCAACTTTTGCTGTGATAGCATTAGAATATGATTCGAGTAGTATCTCTGAGAGTACTACAAGATTCGAGTAAAAATCAAGTACGACGGAAACTTTAAGCCGTTCTGTTCCACTAAGCAATTGAAGCATGACTGATGCAAGATTCCACAGCCCACTGCACACAACAAAATTTGAATACCACGGTGTCAATCCCTCGGGTGGAGGGTACCACAAGTGGTGATCAGCCCTATAGTCAACGGCTGCACGGAAGATTGTAACACATGCATTTGCAAGTTCACAAGCTCTTTGAGATTGCAGAATAATAGGCATATTTTGGGTGATAATATGGTCTAGCTTTCCCTCTAAGCAATGAAACAGTTCCTCGAGCTCTGAGACCTTACTATAGAATACTTCAGCATTATCCCTATCCATCAAAAGAACTGTGTTCCGGCGGGCCCTCTCACCAACTAACTGGATAAGATCCCATAGAGCTCCAGAAGTCCGAGCATCTGAGTCATAGTAGGAGCCAATCCCATACTCGGTAGCATGACTAATTGCATTTAGAAGTTCTCTCAGTTGAATCATGCTGGCAAGCTTCTCCCCATGTTCCATGATAATTTGCATAGATTGTCCTGGTCAGAGAATAACATCAAAACATCATCAGAAATCACAGAGGGAGAGAATTTCAGATTGTAAATGAAAAGCAAAATGAAATTGGGAAGGAAACATAACATAATCCAAATAATTAAAATGATCATACTCTGTCGGTGGCACAATTCCTCATGGCATTTGGACAAAGAAAGGAACTGAAGAAACCTCTTATGCTTTTGTTGCTTATCAACTAGTTGAGTGGACACAACAATTGATTTGCTCATCCTGGCAAATACATTTATCTCTCCCTCTCTTTCAAAAGCCCTTGAATTTTTCAATTTATCAAGGACACCATCAACCTGTCCAGACAAGAGAAATTCATGGAAAAACTGGCTTAGTAAATATTCCGATTCCTCGTCTTGAGGGCTACAATGTGCACCTTCGGTTAAACCCGCTCGTTGCCTATCACCTGCTTCCCAAGCTTCTGAACTGGATCTTTTTGCAGCAATGTTTCCAGCAACAGAAATGCTCCTTTCCTCCTGTAGAGATCCATTATTAGAACTCCATTTTCGTGACAAGCTTCGTTCGGGTGGTTCAACCCAAACTCCAGCTTTCTCAGTGAGCACAACCCAAGTTCCGAATATACTTTTCTCAAGGGAAGGGAATACTGTAACATCAAGAACTTTTCCAGCATCTTTGGGCAAATCAAACTTTTCCCTATCGTAGGAACGGAAGGAAATTGTTGCAGTACCATCACCTGAGAGTATAATAACAGCATTAGCTGGCTCTACACCTACCTTTAATCTCATTGAGAACAAATATTCCTCATCCTCTACTCTAAGTTTAGGTATAATAACTTGGTTAGGGGCCTTTTTCTCCAGTATTTGTTTGCCTATTGGCTTCGTTATATCTACTCCAGATTTGTATTGCATGGTCAGAAGGGAATACTCACT